ACCAACGAATAGTGGGATTGACCGTCACATTATAACGCCTCGCGGCTGAAAGGGCGAGCATGTTTGGTGGGACGGAGATTCGAACCCGAGACCCTCAGATTGCGAGTCGACCGCCATAACCACCTGGCCATGCCGGGCCAGCTCATTGTGTAGTTTTGCACTAAAATCAAACAAACTTAAAATCCTCGCCGTAAACTATTGAATATACAAATAACTACAGGTGAGGCCCACATATTGCATAATACTGAGTCATTTTATGTTTTTGCCTGTCACAACATTCACTGTAAATAACGGTACAACCAACCATGGGTGAAATCACTCATTTCCTATGTAAATTACATAATGGATCCCAGCAGCAATTATTAGGATTAACTGCAATACTGACGTTGTTTTTAAAAGTGTGTGACTCAAGTGTTATTAAAGTCCCTGCAAAGGCTACGTTAAATTTGGTGCATAAATAGCTTAGAAAAAGGTGTTTAAAAAACAATTGGGTTTGGAATCCAATAGTAAGTGTATGTTGAAGAAGGGAAATGCATAAGATCAATAAAGGGGTTGCTAATTTTAAAGCGGTGAAATAATAGGAGATGTATAAGTTCTTCAAAAATTCACATCAGGTCGATAAATCGAATAAAAAATCCCTTAAAGTTAGTGATATTTGTCTTTAGACAAGACATTTAAAGTATGCCCAAACCCAGAGGTCCTTTATGAGCTTCTCTACATTTTGTGTTTCTCCTGCTTTGACAGTCTCTTTATAAAGAAATAATACAAAGGAACAGAAAAAAAAACAAGGTCAAAAACTCAAATAAGAAAGCAAGAGTTCTGATTGACGTTTTGTTACAAAGTTTTTTCGGTTTTAGAAACGGGAATTTTACACGTCAGTAATAGAAGAATCGGTCAATATTTTTGTACCGGGTGTGTGTGTTTGCTCCTTATGTCTGAGTGCTCCATAGCCACTTCTTTTGGACGCATTATTTTCGCTCTCCTATCACTTGATCTCTCATTAGATGGAAGAGCCTCATTGTTCTTGCTATTGAGCGACGAGGACTTGGTTTTTAATTTTCGATCGAGCACTTAGTAATTATAATTATGTGCTCCGGTGAAGCTATTGCTTTCAACACGCAATTACACTTGTGTTATCGAGTTTTTGCGCCTCGCGACTAATTGATACCAAAACTAGTTATTTTCATGATGGTATCGGAGGTATGAAAATCAGTTTTTAACTGCACTAACTCGGTTAATTCTTGAAACTTTGCCTTTAAACTTTAAAAAAAAATCTGAACTCTGAAACTGATATATTAACGTATATAAATAATAAAAAAACCTTCATGAACGCCAGCGCCCTCAGCAGTGCTAGAGAAGTCCAAAACATCTATTTTTAACACAAATTTCTAATACCTATTTATAAGGTTTTGACACAGTAGTCTTTGTTTCTTATCAGCACAAAACGAAGACAAAAAAGATTAAGCTTGTGAGAAATATTAGACAACATAACCTCAGTTTCGTATAATGGACAGACTGTCAGTAAAAACAAATTATTTTTTGGTTCTGTTATCAGTAACTGTATCGAATCATATAAGTTACTAACGCGCTCTATTTTACAGAGAAAATTGTGATCTTTCCTTAATCTACATTATTAATGTCTGTCTGTCTGTATATATCTTATTAATGTAGTAAGACAGTTAATACTTCCTGTACATTTTCTAGCACATTGTTTTTAATTAAAAGATGAATCCCAAGATTAGCTTTTCTTTCAGAGATTCTGTTCTCTAAAATGTCTAAATGATTTTCTTTAGAAGCTCTGAGCCTCACATAAAACTTCCTGAGTCAGACATCTCACCCATCTATACTATATCAATAAAACATGTAGTTGTCTATTCTAACGGTTTAATACGTTGATTATGACCAATCCGGTTAGTGAACGGGTTAGTCCTATGATAGGGCTTTGAAATCCGGAGCTGGCTAGCCACCCTCGAGTCAGTGCGATACCACAAAATAGTTTCTGCAGATTAAGGTGGGGGTACGTCATAAGAGTAACAGTCCTTTCCTTCGCATGGATGGTAGGGGCGTTGCTGACAGGCTGCATTCCCTCTGGTTAGTATTTCAGAATTTGGGACAGCGGAAGATAGCCTTAGTAAGTTTGTCATTAATATCAATTAAAATACCAGTCTGTTTGTACATTCATGCTCTTTATACAAAGATTTCACAGTAAAAAACAGACATGGACATATAGTACATGTTCACTTTCAACCAATCACAAGTCGTCTGCCACCTCAGAGAACAGTCTTAAAGTTACAAGGTGTTTGCCACCCCAGAAAACAGTCTTAAAGTTACAAGTCGTCTGCCAATCCAGAAAACAGTCTGAAAGTTACAAGTCATCTGCCAATCCAGAAAACAGTCTGAAAGTCACAAGTCGTCTGCCACACCAGAAAACAGTCTTAAAGTTACAAGTCGTCTGCCACCCCAGAAAACTGTCTTAAAGTTCTTTTCTTTAAATCTTCTAGGCCTCGTGCCTTCTTTTGAGGTCGTTTGATGACGTCATCACGTGTACCGATACTTTAGTTTATTTATACTTTCAGAGGGTAAAAAAGGTGGTGTATTATACACTTTTTTACTGTAACTGAAGAATCCTCACGGTTTATATGATAGTGTACTGACGCATTACTGACTCAGTCTACTACTACAATAACTCCAGTTTGGAGGAAATATAAAGTAAAACACACACACACACTACTCAGTCAAATCGTTAACGGTGCTATGAATCTGGAAGTAAACATTAAATGACCCAGATATATATATATATATATATATATGTATATAAACATTAAATGACCCAGATATATATATATAATAAAAACATTAAATGACCCATATATATATATATAAACATTAAATGACCCAGATATATATATATATATATATAAACATTAAATGACCCATATATATATATATATTTACGTTACTCCATACCTGATTTTAGTAGTAGTCTGTCAGTCCAGTATTTTCATGAAACCCAATTAACCTGCTATAAGTTACAATCTATCGAAATAAAGATGAGAGACAAAAAGTGAAGAGTTAGTACGTTCGATACTTTTTTATTGGGTGTGGATTTATTTGTTTGTTTGGCATTAAACACAAAGCCACCCAATGGGCTATCTGTGCTGTGCTTACAGCGAGTATCGAAACTCGATTTTTATCGTTTTAAGCCCTCGGATGTACTGTTGAGCCACCGGAGAGTATTACGTGAGGAATTTCGATCGTGCCGAAGCCCATAATTTCAATCACAGAGCTTTGAATTGGTCCCCCCTCCTTTTTTTTTTCTCTTCTAGATCACGTGATTATATAGTTTCATAAGT